TATCATAATTATAAAATATAAAAATTATAAAATAAAAATAATAAACAAAATTAAATAAAACGTGAGGGGTATAAACTGTATGGGGCTAGTAAAATAAGGGGTGTAGATATCAGGGTCCTGAATTCAGATATTGAATTCAGGCCCAAAAGGAAGGGAGGTGCATTTTTAAGCTACACAGTAAAATGGGGAGGTGTGAACAATAAGGGCCCAAGTCTAGATTTTGGACTTGGCCCAAGAGGCTGAGGGGTATGTTTTAAAATGCAATTAGAAAAATAAAATAAAAGGGTGTACGAATAGTAATTGGGCCTAGCCCAAAGGGTTAAGGAGTCCGTTTGGACTCCATACGCGCAGACATATGGGGCTACCGTGGACGAGCATTTCTGAATGTTTGATGGGGATCGCGTGGCTGTCATGGAGAGAGTATTGTAAGGGTTTTGGATTTGTGAACACTGGATCGCAGGACCTATTATATTTTCTTTTTTACAAAATCATTTGTTCATTCGTTATGCCTCTTATCTCTCCATCTCTTTGTTCCTTCTTCTTCTAACACAAACACCATCAAACCCTAATCCTAATCCCGGCGGTGGCGCTCGATTGTTCCCCCCTCCCCTCAATACAACAATAATCTAACAAGCCCTAACCCTCAGATGAAACACAACAACATCAAAGAAATCAAAAATAAAGTTGAGTGATTCGTTACCCCATTGTGGCTTTTTCTTCTCTGTTCCGATCTTGTTTTTTGGATAATTCATCATCCTTCTGTTTGTAGGCGCGAAGGCGGTTTGATGATGGCGACAACGTCGTGATGGAGAGGGTAGCAACGGCGGTGGAGACACGCTCTCCCTGTAAAACTTATTTTTAAATACTTTTTCTTTATTTCCCCATGTCTGTCTCTCTGTAATAATTTGTTCGTCCCTCCTGTAATGATTTGTTTCTCCCCTCCCTGGTTTTGTTCTTAGTTTAGGTTTTTATAGTAATTTGAGATTTAGGTATTTTAGGAAGATTCTTCAATGTTTTATCGTTACAAATGAGAGAGTTAGTGAATTATGGTTTATTTTGATTTTGTTTGTAATTCATTTTGATTTGTATTGATTGAAAATTAATTTGTTTCTGTTTACACCAATTGATTTCATTTCTATGTTTAATTTGATCATATTTCTGGAAAAACTTTGAATGTGATATCCAATTTGATTTCCTTGTAAAACATGCATTATTCTCCTTTAATCCATAGAGTGAGCGTTTATCCTGTGATCTGACTCAATGAGCGCTTTTAGACTTTAGGCATGGGCCTTGTTTTCACTGGGCCACGTGATTTAGTAAAGGCCTCTTTATCTTTCAACCTGACTTTATTAGTCCACATTTTACTTAATAAAACAAAAATATTTTTTAATTAAGTTTGCAAAAGTGATGATTTATTTATAAGAATATTAGTATAATTAATAATAGTAAAAATAATAGTAAAAATAATAGTGATGTTAATGATAATAATACTAATGTTATAATTAAAACAAAATAATTCTCCAAACAAAACAAAAATTGAATGGGCCTCATTGCATTTTAGTTATTGGGCCTTGGACAGAAAACAAATTACTTTATACACCCTCTCTAAAAAAGAATGAAACCTTAATGGGCTTTAATAAAAATGATTTGTTCACACCTCTTTGGTTAAAACAATACTCCTCCCTTTTAACTTGAAATGGACCCTTTTTTACAGACCTAATGGGCCATCAGATATTGATGGTCCATTTTAAATCAACACACCCATTTTCCATGTTCTACCCCCCCCCCCCCCCCCCCCCCCCCCCTTAGAAATAAAAACTATATAATATGATTTTATTAAAAAGAATCCTAAATATAATATAAAGGTAGGGAAATTTTTGGGTATGACATAGGGCACCCACACTTTTATGCTAACAATAGATAAAAGTTATAAATACCTCTCGGTCGCTAATTGGTTTAAACTAGCTCTTGACACGCCCACAGTGGTTTGCCTGTTAAGACAAAACCCCCGTGTAGGGACAATCGCTCTCAAAAATGCAACCATGCACTTGCATAAATTGCAATGTGAGAGTCATTGATTGCCCCCGACTTTCTGATGTTACACTGAGGACAAGATGAGTATATATTTCTTGTTTGATAGAAGGATGCACTCATTAGTCTGCTTAAACCACATAACTTCGACCACGGAAAAATCCGAAAATGAATAGCATGAGTTTGTTGTGCCTTGGTTTCTCATTGGGTTGAAATACTTTGTTCAGTGTTGAAAACAGGGACGGATCCAGAAATCTTAATCAGTGGGGAAAAATATATATATACTATTACAAATATTTATATAAAAATATATCAATACAAAAGTAATAAGTCATTGTGTAAAAAAGTTTAAACTATCAAAACTTTATATATATAAAAAATCAAAGATGTAAAGAAAATCTCTACATGTCATTAAAATTATTGAATAATTTTTTCTTTTATTGTTGTTTGCAATAAGTAACAAAACATT